AAAGAGATTAAAAAAAAACAAATTGGTTTAAATGTTTATTAAAAATTATTTTAATTAAAAAAAAACAAATCATTTCTTCTTTCTAACTTCTTAAAACAAACGAAAAGTTTTTCCAAACAAAAAAAAATCCCAAATACATTAATACTTCAAAGCTAAAAAATATATGGTAAAAAAGATAAAGCAATCCCATGGGTAATTCATGCATGAATTTAATATTAATATACCTTCTTTTCATGGGTTTTTTGCTTCCCTATAGGGTATACCAAATCTTTGTTTGGCCTGACGGAACCATTCGGAAACTATGCCTTCAAAATTTTTGTCTGTCGAAGTGCACACAGCAGCTTAAAAAAATTTGTTTAATAAAAAATCCCATAAAATTTACATTTTTACCCTTCAATATTTCAACAGATTTTAAATTTTGAATTTTATTGTTGTTTCTTAGCCCCAGCCAAGAGCAATCTTTTGCCAAATTATTTGAGAAGATTTTCTTTAAAACTCTTACTGTGGCATCTTTCTCTGAGACGCCTCCAATTTTTGTTATATACTGAAACTGAAAAAAATACAATTTAATATTATTTTTGTTTATTGATTTGTTTTCAAAACAAAGAACAACTATTCTTTATGTAGTTATAATATATGTAAATGATATTTGGTACAAATAATAATTTGTTTGATTTTATTTATTTAAGTCAAATGCACCCTGCAACCTTAAGAGATATAAAAATAATGAAAAATATGGAATTTGCATAAAATTAATTGTCACAACAATTATAATAAAAAAGTGTATCCATCTTGGTTATTTAGCAAAATTATTGTATCTTTTAAGTACCAGTTGAAAAAACAGTATAAAGTTAAAAAAAATATAGAAATTCTTATTTTGGCTACCAAATATCATTAAATTATAATTTGTCGCTTGTTTTTTAGCACCCTGTTTTAAAAACAAATTAACATTATTAAACAGGTTTAAAATCGCCCTTTATATACTTACAAATTCAGCCTCTAGTAGCTACTTCTTTTTGCAATAATGTTTTCTCAAAACTTTTAATAGATCATTAATAAAAAGTTGACTAGGTAAGTATCTATTACACAAATCTTGCAAATCTTCCACAAAAGTATGGGAATTTTTCCTATGACCTCCTGAATATTCTCCCAAATTTTCTGTAAAAATATTTTTATTATATGTTTATTTATTGGCTGGTTAGGGAAAGATAATACATTGTCTTGGGTATTTTCTATACAATTTCTTACCTCCACGCCCATTATTTTGAGATCTGCATTAATTCTCCTCCGCTTTTGCCTCCGAGATAGGGAAATATATTTTTTTCTATTTTTGTCTTCCATTTTATTATAAAAAAATAGAATCAAACTTAACTTAATTTGATTAGATTGGTCAATAAGGATACTTCCGTGCTTGTTTAAGTTTTTATTGCTCTAGTTTATATATATTGTAAATAATTTTAACCGGAATCTAAAAATATTTTTATGCATATATTTAATATAATTGATAAACTTTTTTACAAATATTTTAATTATTGACATTTTGCCTGAAGATGATCTTAGATCGAAACTAGAGCAATAAAAACTTAAACAAGCACGGAAGTATCCTTATTGACCAATCTAATCAAATCAAATCAAATTAACCTTGCTAAAAATGGACTACAAAAACCTTAGAAAACTTAACTTTAAAACACAATAGAGAGCACTCGACACAACCGTTTAAACGAGTTCGTTAGTAAGATAAAAAGGCTATATAAATACTATAAAACATTAATATATAACATTTATATATCATTGTTACAATGTAGGTATAAAACATTGTTATATAGCCATGACATAATAGGGATGTAAATATAACAAGAAGGGATCATTTTGATATAACTATTATATTAAAATTTTTTATTATAATTATGTAACAAAATAAAGAAAAACTATGTAAATACCATATAATAAGGTTATATGGATACTATAAAACATTGCCATATATCAATGATGTATCATTGTTCCATTGTAGATATATAACATTGTTATATGGCTGATACATAAGGGGGATGTAAATATAACAAGAGGGGAACATATTTATATAAATGTTATATTACTATGTTTTATCATAATTATGTAACAAAATAAATAACTAATATGTAAATGTTATGTAAACAATTTTATATGGCAATGTTCTTTGTTAGTTATATCATGGTTATGTAAATGGAACAGCCTGGTTTGCTGGGTCAATTCAGCTTCTAATTAGAAAAAAAATGGGTTAAGCTTAAACACATTAATGTGTTTAAGCTTAACCCATTTTTTTTCAAACTGTTCTCATCAAACTAAAAATTGTTTCGGTATAAAAAAATTAATTGAAGTTGGATGCTCTTTTAAAGAATGAGTCCACATTACATCGACATCTTCCGTGTTGTTCAAAATTTTAACAAAAGTAGGTAGTTGGACAAACTCCCCAAATAAAATGTCTTCATCAACAGAAATTTTAAATTGTGAAGCAACTTCAAAGTAATTATTTAAATTACTAAACACTAAGCAATATCATGGGACTGTTCAGAATCAGATTAGTAGAATTTTATTAATTTAGTTTTTATCAAAATATTTAAGCATCAACGGAAAGGTTTTTATGTTGCCTTTATTTGAAGCGAAATTGGATGGTGTTCAGAAAGATCTTCTAAAATATTTTGTTTGCTATGGGGTCCCAAAACATTTGTGAGTTTTGTTCTGTCACAAATAAAGCTACACTCAGCAATTACCTTTTTTTGCGTCATTTTGAAAGTGCATTTGTGTTTGCTAAATTTTAAATGTTCATTTTGTGTTTTACACTTTTCATATGCTTTTGAATATCATTTTCGCCCCCATTACCCAGTGAAAATTAATGCTTGATTGCGATTGGACCCAATGCACACAATAACAGGTGATAAAATTGCCTTAAAATATGCTGATCTTTAATTAAGTTTTTTTAGACGTAGATCGTAATTTTCCTGTATTTTGTAAAAATTTTAAATTATGTCCTTTTTTCGTTCGCAATTTTGAAAGATATTTAAAAAACGGGATTTTCGACGTGCAAATTGGAAGGCGGGACAAATCGGGACACATCGATAAAAATCGGGACAGTCCCGCCTAAATCGGGACGTCTGGCAACCCTGCACACAAGGAGCCCGAACTTCATGTAATTTACATGATGTAAACAAGAATCTTCCTAAGATAAGAGGGCGCTTGCTTACTACCGGCCCAAAACAGTAGAGGGGTATAACCAGAGATGGCGCCACTACCTACCACTTACACATACTTCCTGTGGAAGTATGTGACCACTTATTATTGTGCAAATAATTGAGGTTATGCAACTGTCAGTTTATCGCTTTCTGAAAACAATGTACCCATGTACCTGGTTTGTGTATAAAGGTCTTAATTTACAATAAATTTATATCAAATTTAACATTGGAATTCATGTTGGACTTTCTGATGTAGAGCATAGGTAGTACAGTTTTTTATGAATTCGTGTTTTTTTCTATAAAAGAATGTCGTGTGATGTTAAATCGTGTAAAACTAAGAATTTTAAATCCATATGGTATTTATTTTTAGTTTTATAGGTAGATGGCTTAAATAAAAGTTCAATATAAACAAATAAAGGTGGAAATTATTAAATATACTGTTTACTCATTTTATACATACTTTTGTATTTAAATAACATTTAAATTATTAAATAGCGGTGTATTTCTAACCTGGAAATCTAATTTTGCTTCTCCAGAGTCGTAAAATCACTTCACAGATTATAAAGAATCACTTAAGTATATTTCACAACCAAAACCTATTCATTAGCATCTACATAATATGTATATTATACATATATATATAAATTGTACATATTATGTATAGGTATACCTACCGAGTTATAGGTATATGAGCATCTACCTACCAGGTACAGCCATAAATAACAAAATGATACGTCAAAACATTATTGCAAATCAATTGTCAAAACTTACTTGCTTGCTTACACATGTATTTTCACTAGTAATACCACTAGAGGTCAAATTATTTCCGGAAATTTTTTCGAGCTCATGAATATTTTGAAAATTATCCCGAGTCGAAGACGAGGGATAATTTTCTAAAAATATTCATGAGGGAGAAAAAATTTCCGGATTTAATTTGACCTCGTGTGGTATTCGGTAAGAAAATTCCACACCAAATTGTGTTTAAATAATTAAAATTTATTTTTTGATTTAACTTGACCTCGACTTGATTATTTAGTTACCATGGCAACTAAGTCAATCCCAACCTAAAAGTTATTTCAATTTTGAAGCTGTCAAGCGGCACGACGTAAAAAAATGTGAAATTGTCTGCTGTAATGATCAATCATCGTGCAATGACTTATTTACCCGCATTATTAGAGGATTGTGGCTCCTACTTGAAGAAAGAAAATTTGTTTTGAATTGTTCATGAATATTTGCATCTTAACTATTCAAAACTCAAAGTGCTAAATGGAAAAAAAGGTGAATAGAATAGTGTCTAAATATTATATATATTTCATTAGACATAGACATTTAATTTATTTCAAGTCCTGCATTTTCGCCATTAAGAAGAAAGGAGGTGTCCAACGAATATAGAAAACATCTTAACTTTGTAATGGAAATGTATCAAAATTATCATGTAAAAAAATAAAAACCAGATTGTCAAAAAAATATTCTGGCATTATAAACGTCAAAAAATTTCCAGTATAATTCGCTGTTGGGTACCCACGAGGAAAAAATTTCCACTAAAATTCAACCGTTGCCATGGTGATCTATCAAAAATACACGTTTTGATTGGTTAAAAATTACAGGTGTGGAATTTTCAATACTATTTTCACGTTATACGGACGCATCGACAATCAGCGCCGCTGGTGGTGAAAAAAAAAGACTTAATTTGTGCAATTTAGTGGACAGGTTTTGTCAATTTTTCCTATTAAGTTCGGGCTCCATGGTATCGTGGCTCACAGCAAAGATAATTATCTTTGGCTCTCGGTGGTTATGTTGAACATAATATGTTCTGTGGTGGTTATGCAACCAAGTATACATTGGTATATTGAACATAACCTTTAACCATAGAAAACTTAAGGCAATAAAAATTTGAATTTGTGATCATTAATTTGTGTACGTGATAATTGTTTTACATGTAAGTTATAAAAATGACCGTTCCAAGTCCATTTGTCTACTGGGCACAAAATGAGAAAACGTTATTCCTCAAAATAGACCTCAAAGATGCTGAAGTAAGTTTGCTTAAATTTTTGTTTATAGCCAGTTAATTTTCAATTTTTTTTAGGATGTTGATGTAAGATTGAGTAAAAGAAACCTACAGTTTTCTTCCAAAGGGTCAGGAGCCCATGGTTTAAAGAACTACGCGTTTTCTTTGAACTTTAAGTGGGACATTGACGTTGAGGTGAGAATATAAAAATCAGTAGGTATTCTGAACAATCATTAATTTTGTAACAAAATTTTTGTTTATTAGGAAAGCATTTACAAAGTAACTGGACATAAAGTGGATTTTATTATTACAAAAGCTGAAAATGGTTGGTGGCCAAGACTAATATCTAAACCTCAGAAACCTGCTTGGTTGAAAATTGATTTTGACCGTTGGCAAACGGAAGAAGACTTTAATGAGGAGGAAGTCCGAGATATTCAAGAGGATTATCCAGATTTGTATGACAAACTTCATAAACAAGAAATGGGGTATAGAAAGGAAGACTTCAAAAAAGTCTACCTGACTCTTTACAATTTGTTAATGTATGTTGGGTTTATGTATGTGGTTATAGTTTTATGCATAAGATTTGCAAGAGATGGGACCGAGTCATATCCAGGAACTTATGAGGCTGTAGGACCTGCAGTTATATTTTTGCAATTATTACAATTTCTTGAAGTAATGCACCCAATATTTGGGTACGTTAAGAGTGGAGTTTTGATGCCAGCTATGCAAGTTAGTGGAAGATTTATTGTTATCTTTTTTATGGTTGAAAAGGAACCTAGAATACAGAAAATGCCTGTAGTATTTTATTTACTCCTTACATGGTCTGCTGTAGAAATAATAAGGTAAGTCTATTTTAATCTTTATTTGGGTATTTTGTGTGTTTGAGTCTATGGATTAATAAAATTTACTTATACAAATTTTAGGTATCCATACTACATGTCTCAACTTCACAAAAAAGAAAATGGTATTCTTACATGGCTCAGGTATACGGTCTGGATATTTTTGTATCCAATAGGATTCCTATGTGAATCTGTTATTATATTTAGAAATTTAATTTTTATTGAACACAGTGGAAAATGGTCAGTTTCCATGCCAAACACCTTAAATTTCACATTTCACGTTCCCACAATCCTGAGATTTTATTTACTTATTGCCATGATTCCCAGTTCTTTCACATTAATGTCACATATGTACAAAGCTAGAGTACAAAGGTTGGGTTCAAAAAAAGGTAAATTTAGAAAAAGTTGATTCGTTTCTTAATTTTTCACAGTTGCAGTAGTTAAATACCCGTTAGGAAATAGTCGTTTTACCGTTTTGCCTTTATAAAACAACACCAATTTTTATATTTTTAGTCAAAATAAGTAAAGGGCTAAGGAGGGGCCAGGCCAGGTTATTAATAATCTGTTATTCTTTAATCACAACAAGGATGTTAGTTAACTATCCTTTGATGAATAAAAAGAATTTTGGTTACAGCAATATTTTATTGTCAGTTTATCAATAGGCCTTTCTTACTTTTAATAAATTATTATTATTTGATGTTTCTTTTTGATCAGCGCTATCTGACTTTCCTTTTATATCCATTTTATACAATTTGATTATATGGTCGAAAATCGTGCTTATTAGTGCTTGTTATGTCATTTATTAATATGGCCAAAAAAATTACAATGAGATTCCTTGCACGAAAATTACAAAATTAAAAAAAAGTTAACTAGGTTCCGGTAATGCTTTAAAGCATAAATAATTATTTCCGAAATACAGTTGCAGTACTTTGCATACTTTTTTCTTTGCGTTCAACATTCTCGGCAACCTATCAGGGCCCCCATCACGACCAAAATGGGATCGAAGCTTTGAAGCGCGGGATAAAAGTGATAAGGAAATTTATCAGCGTAAATTCTAGCTGTTCCTTCAGCATTACCTTCTGCTTCACCCTACACCATTATCATGTCTACTAATTCGTTTTTTGAGTAAATATGTAAAAGTTCTAAACGTTTTAGAAATAATTTAGTTAGTCACTGATACATTTTTATTTATTGTTTAAAAAGTACATACAAAAGTCCTCTTTTAGTTAATATTTTACAAGAACAAACTTGAATAAAATTTCCAACAACTTCAAAAACATTTCTTTGTTCTTTTCAGAGAGTATAAGTCGTAATTTTCGTTTTTTATACCTTCTAATCCTCTGTGCTTCTAATGCAAATTTACTTATACCTGAACACATTGCAAAGTGCGAACATAACCCAATTGTGTGTTTTATATTGCAGAATTCTCTTCAAACCAAGTTTTTGTCAATAATAGGGTTCAGTTAGTTATAAATGTATTTATGTGTATATTTAATAATATATTTCAAACATGTTTTACTTTTATAATGTAATAAATACATATTTAAGTATACGCTGTGACATGAGCCACACTAACGTGCCGCGATTCGAAATGTTAAAGGCACGTTAGTTACGTCATAATAATAATCCATTTTACTTTCCCCGATATAAAATTGATAACAAGCTAGATAGCTCAGATGGTAGGGCGGTCGCTTATCATGCGAGAGGTACCGGGTTCGATACTCAGAAGTTGTCGAACTTTTTTTTATTTTATAAATTTGTTGGTTCTTTGTTAAAAAGTGTTGGGTTGGGTTGGTTGGTTTGTTTTAGTTTTATCGTATCATAAAATCTACTAGAAGTTGTCGAACTTTTTTTATTTTTTTATTTCATAAATTTGATGTTCCTTTGTTAAAAAAGTGTTGCGTTGGTTGGTTTGTTTTAGTTTTATCATAACATAAAATCTTAAAATTATGACGTTAAATAATTATGACGTAACTAACGTGCCTTTAACATTTCGAATCGCGGCACGTTAGCGTGCCTCTAGTCACAGCGTTAAGTATATGTAAGATAACCTACAAATTTTAAAATACCGAAAAAATTGAGCCGGCGAAAAAAAGGATAAAAATGAAAAATTTTCATTTTATTCAAAGGGTAATACGAAAAAAATGCAAGTCAATCTTTCTGAAAATGTAAAATGTGTAATTTTTTTTCCGTACACTGAAATCGAGAAAAAAGAAATTTCAGACGCTGATTATTATAATACTATCATTATAATAATTATTCCTTTTATTTTAATTCAGTAAGAATATTCTACCGGGCCACAAAAAAACATACTCTGTGCTGTATTAATATAACTTATATTTTATTTGACACTTTAATTTATAAAATTATAATTTTTTAATTTAACTTTATAAATCATTCATTATTTTGTAATTGGATATTTTAAATGGACCACTTTGCAAAAAAAGACCTTACTGACAAGTATATTTAACGTTTAGGTTTAATTTAATTTTCCAAGACCTGGAAAAAAAACCGGAAAAACAGGTTTTTACCCCAATTTTTCCGTTTTTTTCGACACTTTAACACCCTACCAGTGACCCTTAAAAGTTTTAACGAATTAAATACTATAATAAAATTTAATTGATTTTTTTAAAATTTGGACAAATCTCCCATTGTTATATTACAATATAATATAATAATATAATAATGATAATTATCTTAAACAACTGGCTCAATTTTCAACCCCACTTCGTGATAATAATGTTTCATTTTTATTTAACATTTTTTTAAATTCTTATATTTTGAGCTTGTGTGTATTTTTCACTTCCTTCAGAAATGTGAAAATAAATTCGTTTTTGTCCAAAACGAAAAATATGCGAAAAAAATATTTATTTTTAATTATATGATCTGAAATATCAAAACAATTAAAAGGGTGCCATATTTAATAGTTAATATATTTATTCTTATTTTTATGCAGGGAATCTTATTATGATTTAATCGCAATATTAATAAATTACCCTGTATATATCACCATATACATAGGTATACAATGTATACTATACATATAAGATAATTGATTAATGATAATTTTATTTCTTAATTAATACAAGAATCAATATTTCAGGACCTTATTTAGTCTCCTGTTTATTAAGGTAATTTCAAGTATTCTATGTTTTTAAATTGCAATTTAATTATGTGTGTTTTTAATTTAATTCCAGTAACGTACAATAAAGAAACTAAACAAGTATGTAGGTAGCCTTGGCAATCCATAATACGTCACATTGCATCACATTTTTGTTTTGAACCTCTAGAGTAATATGTTACAAAGCCAAAAATATCTTTAACGTTACTTACAAAAAATAGTAGTAAAAAATTAGAATTAAAAGGATAAGTTTCAGATCATTCAGACACATAACCTCAGGCTCAGGCCTCTTTTTTGCAAGCTTGGTTTTTTATGAGCTGCCTATACAGTACAAATCAACTTTATTTATTACAAATAATGCATAATAAAACCTATTAATTACTAAAATAATGTGTACCAATCAAAATGCGATGTTATTGTATATTACAATTGGACGCTTATGCAAAAGGGAACCAACCGACATTTTTGTTAAAAATGGGTTTATTACCGCATCCTGACCAGAATGTCATGCTTTTCAATTTTTTTTGCATCTTGCTTGCACTATAACTTAATAGGAAACCATACAAAACGATATAATTTTCCAAAATATGATATGCTTTTAAAAAACTTTAAATGCGATTTCCCACAAATTGGGTCTTGGCAGTTGGTTTCCTTTTGCATAACGGGGTCCTCTTTTGCCCTATAAATATGTATTGGATTACTCTGTGGATGGATTAGGTACCTATATGTTTAATAATAGCACAAGATTAATTTATTAGGTTCATATTTATTTGTAAAAATATCGAAATTACATTTTTTTAGTGGTTTAAATAAAATAAATAATAAATATATACAACTTGTGTTTATCTGTAACCTATGTTTATTTATGTATAACATGTGCGTTTTTTTAACCTAATTGTGAAAAGCTTGTTTTATCGGTAAATACAATTTATATAACGCGTTTCTGTTATTTCTATTTAGAAGGTTTTTCATGTTTAATCTTTATTGAATAAAATTTGGTCACGTAGTAAAGCTGGTAATTTAAACTTATTACGTCAAAAACATTTAGAGTCGTTAAGTATCAAATAAATAATCTAAGAATAAAACGTTAATACCGAAGTTTGATTGCCTCTCACCAATAAGATCGGCGGCATATCCTTAGTTAAAAGTTCAAGCCAAGCTAAATATAGCGAAGCCGACACAATGTTCTTGCGCGGCATTGGCAAAGTCATCACGACCAAATTTGCCTCGTTGGAGTGTTCTATAAGCAACTCCCTTAGTCTCATGTGCCGATTTGTTTTGTCCTTCATCGCCATCAGTTCCGATTCAGAGAGCAAATCTGGATTTTGCGAATCGTCTTGCGGTTTAAAGTTGCTTATCAGGCTTTCAAAGTATTGTTGGGTTGAGGCTTGTGGCTTGTTTTGGATATCAGACACAACTTTTAAATCGGAGTAGTCTATTCTAAATTTGGCCAAAAGTGACGCCATGTTTCTGTGTTCCAACTCTAGCTCGTCCCTTTTATTAGACAACGCGAAAATCCTGAGTTTACAATTCGTCCAATTTCTTCTGGTGCTCAGTATGTAAGGCAATAAGAGAGTTAAACCTCCGTCATCGTAAAGCCACCACACGTCTATGGTGCCGCCTCGTTTATTTTTTCTTTGGAATAAATGTGTTATTTTTTCTTTTAGAGGTTCGTTTTGTTCTTCAAACATGGTCTCGGATTCCGTAACAGATTTGGCTTTTTTAACCGTTTCATCTCCACCTGGTTTAGTGCTTACAGCGTCTTTGTTTCTTGAAATAGGAGTTGCTGGCATACTTTGGTCGCTCAGGTCACTTGCTAAAATAAATTAGAAGGCTGTCAGAATGAAAAATAAATCATTTTTAGGAATTCAGATATTGATTTTAGCAAGTATTATAGGTATGAAAGGACAAAAAACATTTTCAGAATATTCATGCAATGACAAAAATCTAAATATTTGAGTTATAACTGTATTATTCTAAACTGACGATTTGCCAAGGTCAAAGGGTTATTTCTTGGATATTTTTCCATGCTAATAAATAATAAAAGGTGGTGTGGTACACATATTTTATTACTTAATTAAAACATATATCTGGGCTGAATGCGTAGATATGGCTGAATGTTTTTCATATGTCCTTGTCTTGAAAGTCTGAGTGTCCAGAACTCTCAAAACTCGGAAAACAGTAACTATGTTAGTTTTTTATTTTTAAATATTTTGTATTTATTTACAAGTGTTCAGTACCATTAATTACCTATGTGATAAACGTTACTAATCAGCAATTTTTAATCGTCCACAATTATGTCTCAGAAAACCTAAAAAAACTTAAAAAACTAAAAAAACTTAAAACCTACAATTTATTTTTTATATTCTTAGTATTTTTCCAACCCTGGGCTTTATATACCATTTTATAATAATAATATTAATATTATTATTATTAATTAATACTCTTTCATTAACCACCCTTGTGGAAATTTTTCTCTGAAAAAGTTTTAATAAGTAAAAGTAAGCGTTTTGATGTCTTACCTCCTCTTAAAAACTCTAAATAGGACTTATAAAGTCGGAATAAGACTTATTAAGTCGGAAAAAGTCGAAATAAGTGTTAATAAGACTAAATAAGACTAATAAGAGAAATTAAGACTTTCAAAACTCTTACTTTTTACATTTCATTTAAAAACATTTATGGCAAGTCAATACATTTAAGTAAATAAACAATAATAATAATATTTTGTAACAAGTTTGGAATACAGTTTATTCCGCTGGAGTGATATTTTGTTACACGACCCAAAGGCGAGTTTAACGCTTACACTAGAGCGGAATATAAATTACTTGCAAATAAATAAAAAGTAGGAGAAAGAAGTGAGGTTGAAAACGTTTGACAGGTGTTAAATTTTATTCGATTTCATACCCGATTGGTCCAAATTATTCTCACAATTAAACCGGTGGTAGAATAAATAATCGGTAACACCTTATAGAATGTAGTTATTATCTACTAGGTTCACATTATATTGGTCATTTGCCGTAACCCTAGTAGAAAAAATCAATTATATTTAATCAGAATATGATCTTATACTCTATAGGTACATTCTGCAGTTGTATTTAAAAACCTGTTATAAATTCCTTGTTAATAAATAAAGTAAAAAACGCATTTTGCTAGTAGCAAGTAATATAACATTAAATATTGAATGCGATATTCCACTTTTGGGTTAGAATATGGCTATTTAGAAAAAATAGCCACAAAAAATAATACTTTTACCATTATATATTCAATACCTTATAAGCCCTATGTTCATATGAACTTTTCTTTACAAAATGAACTAAGGTATCACCCTAAAATATTAGCACGTCCCAAAGGAGGCAGCGATTTCGAAGCTTCCGTTGTTTCAAAATCCATTTATTTAAGATCCGACCGGCCACGACGCGGGTTACCGATCGTTTAGAAATAAAAAAAGGGGGCCCAAGACAGAGCCTTGGGAAACCTCATAGATAAAAATTACCTTGTGAAATTTGACTGTAGGATCTATTTCTTGGCAGGAAATCGGTGCTTTTATTTTTGCTTTCTTCTTCAAGAAGAGTTGATGCTTCCAAACCTTGTTGTAATCTCAAAATACCAACTGCCATGTGCAGATCAAAAGCATTACTAAAATAAAATATTGGATTAGTAAAAACATAAAAAATATTGCCCCTTTTGTTAATGTTTAGCTAAATAAGGTTTCTTGAAAATTTACAAAATAAAAAGAAACTGAGAGACGATTTATTAAAAATACATTTTTAGCGTGTATTTTAAATGGGTTCTACTTAGCCGAGTCGGAAAAAAATGCATTTTGAAATATATTTAAAAATATTTAAAAAATGTAGTCTAAACTTTTAGAATTGACAAAGTAACAGCAGGATAGATATAAGCATAGCAGATAAGGCGTACTATGTTCCACACATCAAAATCCCACCACGTGACTTTGTACGGAACGTCTTTTGAAAATTTGGCATTGAAGGCATTTTATGTTATGTATTGTTAACGAAAGAAATCATATTTATACGTTTACCGATTAAAAATCTTTATAATCTTATAAATCTTTATAGTATCACAATAACAATAGTTGGTTTAAGAATTTAATAAAATTCTAAAGTGTATGTTGCCAAATAAGTAATATTTTTGTGCATTTGGTCTACAATGTAGACTCTACATATCTAGTTTTATCCTTAAAAAAGGTTTAACTAAGCAGCATTTATTTTAAAAAAAGCCGAGCTTCGTATATATATTATAACAAAAAATATCATTTAATTTTGTAATTTTAAGGTAAGGAAAACCTAGTTTGACCAAAGTAAATAGGTATTTTGGAGTATTTGGAAGCATGTGCTAATGTGATTATATTAATATATACTAAACAATTGTTGAATATGGTTCAAATTAAATTTAAGCTTTTATACTGCTAACGGAGAACTGGAGAAAACCAGATGTGTAGACAAATGCACAAAAATATTACTTATTTGGCACCATACACTTTAGAATTTCATTAAAGGCATTATTTATTTTCCTAAACTCTTAAACCAACCATTTTAATTGTGATACTATAAAGATTTATTAATTTTGAACACTTAAACATAAGCGTTAAACGTATAAACATGATTTATTTCGATATACTTTAACAGATAAATAAGAAGAACATTTTATATAAGTTTGTATGTTTTAAAGCTTCGTTTTCTTGATAGTTCCATCGACTATTACACCTGGGACACCCTGTGTATAATAAATGGTTAAAATAATTTTACAAATTTCCAAATTATTAAAATTTACAAAATATTTTAAAAATTTTTAAAATTTTTCAAATATTAAAAATATAAAAAGCTAAAAATCTTACAAAAAGCTTAAAAGCTTAAAAAAAATGAAAAGCATTAAAAACCTCAAAAAAATTTTAAAGTCAAAAAAGCTTAGAGCTCAAAAGATGAAAATGTTTCGTGTAATTGAAAACTTCCCAAATTTGTAAAAAATTGGATGATTGAAAACTCTCCTCACTTTAGCACTCGCGGCTATATCTCACACCTAATCCCTGTCTACTGCACAAAGCTAAAATAGTTAGGTTGGGTTAGATTCTTATTTTCATGTCTATTTTTACTACTTATTTTATTTTACTGTATTATAAAGCTGGATAAGATAAAACTAAATTATCCTGTATGATAAATTATAAATTATTTAAATATATAAATAATTAATAATTATATAAATAATGATTAATGATTCATACTCTACTTTATTTCATAATTAATATTTGCTGCAAACTATGTGCAAGTCCGAATAGCCCCACTCCTTACCGCCCACCCCACTGCCGTTTCAACGCTAGCACAGCATTTCATGCCGCAGAGTGTCAGATTAGGTGTGAGATATAGCCGCGAGTCACTTTAGCCGTGTTGTCTAAGGGGCCGTTCACATGATACGTCACGCTTTAAGGGGGGTCGAAAAACTGTTGCGGTAAAGTGTGACAAGGGAAAGGGAGGTCAACTTCGTGACGCCACCTTAAATTTATACAAATATTCATTTAGAGTTAGTAAAAAATTTGAAATTGTGACGGCGTGGGGGTGGTACAGTAGCGGACACGGAATTTTAAACGACATAATTTGGTTGTCCATGTATAAATATGTAAATAGCAAAGACACAGTATTGACCATTTTTGTTTTCGCTGTGAAAATGACAATACTAGAAATAACCGGAATTTAAAGGAAGTTAAGATTTTGATGTCTTTGGGATGATAGTCGTTCAAAATTACGTGGCCGCCACTGTAAAGACCAGGAAGAGGGGGTCGAAAATCGCGTGACGTAGTATGTAAACGGCTGCGCACATGTGTTTTTACTATTTTTGAACCTTGAACCGTTGGTGCATAGCTAATATTAGGTGTACATTTTACTTACTGTAAAACTTCAAAGTATTGGTTAAGATCACTGCTAGAGCAAGTTTGCCAATCAGATTTATAACCCATCATTAGAATGTTTGGTCTTAACTTTCCAATACCACAAGCCTTTAATAAAGCAGTACAACCATCTTGAAAATTCAAGCTATCCACTTGCATGTAGAATGCTTTTATCTTGTGTGCCTTTATCCAACTGTTTGCTTTGTAGTACAAGACGTTCCTTATCCTTTGGGTAAGCGACATCTAATATAACAAAATTAGTTTTGAAAAACGTAAATTATAATAACTTTTTACCGAGTTGACGTGTCCACAAACTAACATGGATAGATTCTTGGTTAATAAGTGAGCAAAGTCTACTAGAGCTGGTCGAGCACTGGGCATTCCAGAAAGAACCAAAATTTGGGGTCTGTAGTTTTTGACATGCTCTTCAACGTTGTTTAGTTGGTGAACAGCTTGCAGAGCGTTTTTGTAGATTTGGGCCTGAGTGGTAGAACCCCAGTTCACATCTAATAGAAAATGTATATAATCATTGCCATACTTGATTTATTTGGTTTTAAATACCTGGTTTTCTGTAAGATACTATCAAATATAACGCTAAAACTGCAGCAAATGTCAAAAGGGCAGTCCACCATGATATCAAGAACATCACCATTAGGCATAAAATGGCACCCACAAGACTAAGCCACATGTTGTAATACTAAAAAATAATAATTTAATAAAGTAATATAGGGTTATAGCGTCAATCAATGGTTATAGGTACTATTAAAATATGAGCATTGAGTAAGGAGATGAGTATGAGTATAAGAGACGTAAACCGACCCCATTGCCTCATCGCTCCCGGGCCCCTCTGTTTACTTGAGCCGATTTTCTTTCGCCACCAGCAACGGCACGGATTCCTAACTGTCCCCTAATTAGGGCTCGAGAGCGAAATGCCAATAGTTTTAGTAGCCATTCCCGGGTTCGCCGAGCCGATTCCATACGCCTAGTAGGGTAATGAAGGAGGTAGGACGGGAGGGATAGACAGTTTGGTGTTTGGGGGACACTTAAGCCGACTTAAATCTAAGTACGACGCGGGATCCCCCTAGACCGGGAAGTTAGTATTACTCCAAACATTTGGGATTACTGTTTGGAGTTGGGGAGTTGTTAGTTCGTGGTCAACGTCTTGACCGTTATTGTCTCTGTCCATGTCGGGTTGTTCCTGCACTTGTTATTGTCTTGTCTCAGCTGTTTTCTTTCGCGTTGCAATCCTATCTTTCTATTAAACAGTTGGTGTGCATTGATACGATTTGACAGTTACCTGTGGGAGGTATTTTTGACTTCCACTGTTTACTAATGTAATTACCAATTTCATTAGAATTCGGTTTGTGTGTTTATTCTGTGTTTATGTTTTCTTAATTTAATGTTCGTTTGTATAGTTTCGTTTAACGTTTTTTGTTGGGCCGTTTTCTTTAATTTATGGGTTTAGTCTTTGTCGTTTGTTATTGATAGATTTATTCCCTAGTCAGCTTTCTCATGTCCGAGTTAAGAGTTGGGGCGGTTTTGTTTTAGGTACTATTAATCCTCTAAAAATTTGGGTTTAAGAATATACGTACGGTAGCCAAAATTAGACTTTGCAGACTCGCGCATTCTTTAATTTTCTGCGGTTTGAGATTTAAAAGAACGCAATCAAAAAATATTTTGTTATCAAGTTTTAAAATTGAATACCAAATTTGTAAAAAAAAAAACGCGATAATTGTCATTGTAGCCAAACTAGTTTGTTATAACTACAATGACAACTATATTTTGGGCTACCGTACCTAAATTGACTGTAGGTTAGTTCTGTGTTTAATAAAAAACTAGAGCGTCAACTTAAAAGATAGAAACATTGAGATCAAATTCCGTTTCAGATTGTATATTTTCTTAATAAAGACGTTTAATATTAATATTAATAATTGTAGGATATATTTTAAGGTAAACAAAATTCCAAAGTGCAAAATATTAAAAAATAGTTATTTATTTTTTTATTTACCTATATGTATTATAATATTTTATTATAATTATAATACAATATTAATATTGTTACTAAGTTATAACAGTTTTGTTTGAAGCCATTAAGATAAAATTGTGCCAAGTTTAATTTTTTTATTTCTAAACATGTTTAATTTGTCTAATAAAATTAATTTTAGAAATTATTTTAAATCACGATTTTTTTATTAAATTACTAGAACACTAAAATGGGAAAATTTTTGCAGCTCAGGAATAATTTTAATTTTAAGTTATATCTCAAAAAAAATACTTTAAAAGTCAAAATTTGATGTTTACCTCAAACAGTCACGTTTTGTAGGGAGAAATGTAATTTTTTCAGGCCTCAAGAAGTGTCCAGGCTACAATATACTATTATCTTCAACCGAAAAATATTAATTTTGGAAGAAGATAATGTAATTTTATCGTTGTGCGTAAAACCAATTAAATTATTGTTAAATCAAATTTCAACGCTTTGGTAGCACGTCCGATTAGCTTCAGATATATCTTTTATTTGAGATCTACAAGGTCGGTAACACAAAAGTTGCGTATTAAAAGTCTATTTAAATGGTATTTAAAAATCAGCGGTTCTTAAATAATTTGAATATGTACATTTTCATCCAATTTGCATTTTTTTTCTATGGCCGCTTTATTAAAATTTTACATATTTAGAAAAAAATCAGGGAATCCAAGGAATCGTTAAACTACATACGTTATGGCGGTCAATATAAAAACAAAAGATGGTGATGGTAACTCAAAATGTAGCAGTGAAGAAATTAGATGAAAATGTAGATTAATGTATATGTTTACATGTAAAACTTACCTATTTTCCAAATTTCCAGGAATAAAAAAGCTATTAGATTTTTGATTTTAATAGTATATTCTGTAACAAGGTTGGAATACAGCATATTCCGCTCGAGTGAAAAGTTTGTCACACGAGCCGAAGGCGAGTTTGACGGTTTCACGAGAACGGAATATGCAATTCCAAACGTGTTTTAGACTATACTTTTTCTACGTTTCCAAAAAATACCATAGAAAAATAATTTAATTGGGTGAAAGTGAGGTTGGATCGGTCTAAATTTGTTAGATATTAAACACAGAGATGCCGCCACTAGTGTTTATTCCGTCATCAGATGTAATACTGTCATTCCACAATAAAAAATGATATTAGAATGGTAATATTCCGTAATAGGTGTAGAAAAAATATTTTAAGTTTATTTAAAATATTTTGAGAACCGATGGCTTTTTTCAATTTTAACTTTCATTTTAATAGGCTTGTAATTACGCAACTTTTTCTCTTATTTAACCGACCTTGTATCTCTTTCAATAAAAAAAATACCCATAGATGTATACAGGGTTTATATATTTTTAATGAACTTTAAAAAAGGGTTAGAGAAGAAAAAGTCCCTACTGAATATGTTAGGTACATGTTTATTTATATTGAAGCACTGGAAGCGTATTGGATGCATAGGCATTAGGGCGTAAATCATAAAGATTGCATCGAAACTAAAAAATTGATACCAAAAATGAATATTTACAGTTCGCTACCAGCGATTTTTGTATTTTTGCACATCTGAGTCGCAATATTCGTAATAATATTGGGCCAATATATCTTTCGTCAGATTTTTTCTAGCATGGTCTAATATTGAAACCCAACATTGGCCCGAAGTTGTTTGAGATTATATAACCGATATTGGAAATCCGCATTGGCCCAAAGTTGTTTTACATTATATTCTAGGAAAGTTAAGGGAGAAATTGAAAGAAAAAAAATAGCCACCTAGTACTTACTACTTAAGTACTACTAATTAGTAGGATTTCTAAAAGTGGTATGTCACGATCGTGTCGACAAACATTTGTTTTCAGGAAATGTTTATAGTAGGTACTTAAAGGCGTATAAGCGTAGGGGCGGTGACAATGCCCACCTAAATAATAAGGGGAAGAGGGGGGTTACTTGATATAAAATGTACCCTCCAAATTCTTTAAAAAAATCTACCAATAAGAAAAATCGTGTACCGTCTATGTTATTCTTAATTACGATGAAATGCTAAAATCGTTTGTATCGTGTGCTAAAATGATCAACTTACTTAAGCTTTATTAACGTAATAACGAATTTTATTGCTAATAAGACAAGAAATCGAATATTACCCTTGTTATGCTTACGGTAATATGCAAGAATGGCTTTTACTATTTTCACCCATTTGGTGCTAAACAATAAGGATGGTAGTCGGTTGCGCCACCCCCATCTTAAAACCGTTCCTGCGCCACTAGTATAGACATATCCTGGAAACAAACGTGTGTCGTTACGTATGACTTTTAGAAATCCGAAAGCATCGTTGACTATAGTTAATGATAAATTGGCTTAAAACAATATGCCAATATAGGACGAACCTTGGATAAACATTGGCAAGATATATTAAATTATCATTTTATGCCAATATAGGGCTAACATCGGCTAAATAAATCCAATATTGGCCCCAGATAAAATATTGGGCATAGACGCGCCCCATATAGGACCAATATTTTGTGCTACTGGGGTAGTTTCTTAATACCCTCAATTAACTTGACTGTACAATATAAGATTTCTCCGGCTATAGACTATAGTCTATGATGTAGGTACTAATTTATTATAAAAAATAAATTTAAATTTTCTGCTTCGGCCGTATCAGATCAGTAAATAAATTGGTAGTCAACGTTATTTAATTTTAATTGTAAATACTTTAACAACTACTTGGTGGAATTTAACGAATTTGGTATCAAATTACATTTTGAAATGTAGAAATTTTATAAAAATACGTCATAATTGATTTACGAACCCAAATTATTCATAAAATCATATTAAAATGAAAAAATATGGATTATTCAACTTTCAGGTTAGAAAAGATACATCTCTTTTAACCTAAAAATAATTAAACTATAAATACCGAATAAAATATTTTTTGGGGCAGCTTTTATGTACGCTAAATTATTATTGTGTTATTATTTACTTAGTTCTTTTACGGCACCATAGCGTAATTCAAATTATTGCTTTTTTATAAGATTATTAACAATATTTTCATGAAAAACTTTTTTTTTAGTCAAGATACTGGGTAATTCTTAAATTTTTAATAATATTGAGTAAAACATAAAGTAATCTAATATTATGCGCAGTACTAATTTTGCAGCTTGGCTGTGCAAAAATACGAAAATCGAGTTTAAAATGTTTGGTATCAATCTTTTAGTTATGAAGCAATTTATATAATTTAGGCGGGTTCATTAAAAAAGATTCTGGTGCAAAATGTTTGCTTCCGTCCACCTGATTTAGTGTTTTTTTTATTTTTGCGTCTAATGGTCACCATAAGCCATGCATAGATTTGTCATACCTGGATGTTATAGTGCACCCGGATTAAATATAAATAGACCTGTAGCAACTTTACTTATTCGGTATTCAGCTGAAGAAAACTGAAGATACCTACCAGTCGAAACATTGTGATTAAAAATACTAAAGCAGTCCAAAACTGTTATTTCATTTAATAATTTCTCGACCTTTTTAATTAATATTAAAATCTTTGTTAAATAGAAATATTGGAGTTATAACTTTACAGAAGTCCAAATTTTTAAAAATTAAGCGAGATATTTCAATTTTAAGTAAGCTAATTTAGTAAGATTCGAAAATTGAAAATTTCTTAAAGAATTCGTAGTTAAAAATTGTTGGGTAAACTTAGGACATCCTGTATAGAACTATAGTTATTCCTTGCGGTTTTAAAATGTAATAATTTGTTTAAATGACATTCAGTTACCTTAAATGTAGGCCTCCAGCCTATAGGCTTTGCCAAAGAGGCATGGAACGTTGAAAAGTTAATTAACGTATAAGCAGCAAGGAAGAAATTTGATATAAGAGGAGCAATAACATTTAATTCACCTAAAACAATAAAAAGGATTAAAACAATATAGTTCACTTGTTACCACAGCATAAATTACCAACTAATATAAAGGCAACAGCTATAACGAAAGTTAGAACGTAACCTCTGATAGGTTCATTATTTGACCCGTAACCTTTAGCAAACCATTTAATTTTCGGATACAACTCGTCTTTGCAAAGTGCTTGAAATACTTTGGGAGCCGATACCAACGAAGCCAAGGCAGATGATAAAGTTGCAGCAAAACAACCGGCGTATATCAATGGGCCAAATGCAGATACCAACTCTACAACCTAAAAAGAAAAATATCAAGAAAATTTTGCTGAGTCGAACTTGATTTGAAAGAATGACATAACATTTTTAATCTGAAACTGTTTCATTTCTACTGAATTCAAATTATATTCAACCTTTTGTTTGACTCACGCCTCTTACGGGAACAGCTCTTGCTCTCACAGAAAAAGCTTGTATTCCAGAGTCCTGATAATAATACTCGTAATATTTTTGTTTAGGAGCAGATTCCGTTTTAAGACATTTACATAACAACTTAGTACATACTTGAAAACTATTGTGTAATCCGTAGGTGCAGTTTTCGCGTGTACAATCAGGGAAAGTTCCATTAACATAGTCCTCAACTTTGCCTGAGGCATCTCGTAGAACGCAGAATCCTGCCACTATGGCCATCAGGATGTAAGATAACGTTGTGATCAGAACCGAAAGTAGAGTGCCTTTTGGTATGGCTTTCTGGGGATCCTAAAATATTATGTTTAAAAAAAATCTTAATGTTATAAAAAAATTATGCCTTTAAGTCTCCAGATATATTAGCACCTGCTAACATTCCTGTAGCAGCAGGGAAGAATACTGCAAAAACGCTGAAAAATGAGTGTTGTACGCCATCAGACTCGCGATAGTCCGATTTCCAATTATTCGTAAATGTTGTCACTAAAACATAATACAGTTAATTAAGACGAAAAAGATATCAATATGCCCATTGTAAAGGGTTTTACAATAGGAAAGACACATTTTTAAACTGGATTTTTTTGTCGTTAATTTTTATCATTTAATATTGAAACGCTACGTCATCTAAAATTTTTTGTCAAAATCCGCATTTTTGGCCATTATAATTTTTTATGCAATAGAGAAATGTTAACATATTCATTTTAAAATCGACCAAATTCTGTCGATTTCGTTTTAATTGGGCATTCCTACAACCAGTTTATGGCACATTTTAGGATAATTTCAAAGTAAATTACTGGTGGCATTTAGTTTTAACTAGATGGCACTACATACCACATTAGGGTGGTTCTTATTTGACCGATATCGAAATTTTAATCGTGCCGCCTCATCATTTACATTATTAAAAAAATGTATGCCAAATTTGAATGTCATAACTTATTTCCTTCTATTGCCTGTAACAACGAAAAGTTTTCCAGATAGAGGATTTTTGCTTTTAATGTATTAATTTTTTAAAATTACTATTAAACTATGAAAACTTATATTTTTTGAGAAAATGTAGAGAACTTAAGTTACTTTTAAACAAAAAAAAGAAATCATGTATTTTCATCCTAAGGTCTTTTTTACTTCGCTCGATTATTACTTACAGTTTTTCAAATAGGGGATTTTTGCTTTAAAACGCAATAATTTTATAAAATCATTATTAATTAATGAACAATTCTAATTTTTTGAGGAAATGAAAGGAAAATATTGTACTTTTAAACCAAAAAAAAGAATTCATGTATGTCCATCAAAAGGTCTTTTTTACTTCGCTCAATTATTACTATTATTGTTATTTTATTGAAAATGGCATAAAAAACAAAAGTGATAATTTGCATTTAATGCATAATTAGTGTGCTTTGAAACGTAATTTTGTACTTTTCTAATATTGGCGCAACCTAAATATCTTTTAGGCAATCATAAATTATTTGTTTTATAAAACAAATAGTTTAAGATACCTAAAGATATTTAGGAAGCACCAACATTAGAAAAGTACAAAATTACAATTATGTAAATAATGAAATTGATTTTTAGATTGTTTTCGAACAATTTATTTTTAAAGAAAGTAACAGTTAAAATGGCAAAAAAATAAACAAAATAAAACCCAGATAATTAGGTTTTTGGTATTTTAAAAATTGTTTACAACAGTCTTTTTTTGCGTCGAGAAATGATTTTCAACAAATTGTTTCTGGTCTTCATTGTGTGTTATGATGGAGTTACACTCGTCAAATAAATGCACAGCTCTTTCGGCAGCATCAATTCTCAGCTGAGTTACAGTTTTTAAACCGTTTTATAATTTTTGTCCCGAGGCCACATAGTCGGATCGGTTTTCAAAAAAGTGTCATCGATATCCCATCGCTGAAAGAATCTTCTTGCTGGTGTTATAATATATTATTGTACAGCTTGTGTCAGAGTTTTGAAAAGCAAAAAAAAGACTATTTAAAACAATTTTTAAAATACCAAAAACCTAACTATCTGGGTATTATTTTGTTTATTTTTTTGCCATTTTAACTATGTTACTTTCTTTAAAAATAAATTGTTCGAAAACAATCTAAAAATCAATTTCATTATCTACATAATTGTAATTTTGTACTTTTCTAATGTTGGTGCTTCCTAAATATCTTTTATAAAAGATATATAATCTTAAATTATTTGTTTTATAAAACAAATAATTTAAGATTGCCTAAAAGATATTTAGATAGCACCAACATTAGAAAAGTACAAAATTACGTTTCAAAACACACTAATTATGCATTAAATGCAAATTATCACTGATATTTTGTTTTGTATGCCATTTTCAATAAAACAACAATAATAGTAATAATTGAATGAAGTAAAAAAGACCTTACTATGGACATACATGAATTCTTTTTTTTTATTTAAAACTACCATATTTTCCCTTCATTTCCTCAAAAACGTAGAATTGTTCATTATTTATTATTGATTTTATAAAATTATTCCGTTTTAAAGCAAAAATCCCCTATATGAGAAACTGTAAGTAATAATCGAGCGAAGTAAAAAACACATAAGGATGAAAATACATGATTTCTTTTTTTTTTGTTTAAAAGTAACTTAAGTGCTCTACATTTTCTCAAAAAATTATACTTTTTTATAGATTAATAGTAATTTAAAAAATTAATACAATAAAGGCAAAAATCCTCTATCTGGAAAACTTTTCGTTGTTACATTATTGTTATATTATATATATATTGTTATATTTTTTAAAAACAAATGAGGGTGCGGCACGATTAAAATTTTGAAACCGGTCAAATAAGAACCACCCTAATACCACATATTCAGTCAAACAATCGATAATGTCGAAGCCAAAATTATTTAAGGTATTTATGGCCACTTGCACCGTAAGTTTAACAGTGGTTTATTTTTTAACACAGGTTTATTTTTCTTAACTGGCTTGCAGCATAAATTAATCCTTGTTTAAATACCACTAAACTATGGTTAAAATAAACCTTCAATTTCGGGGGATTAAATTACTTTAATCCACCGTTAACGATTTATAATCTCAAAAGTACTTGTCATTGGTATTCAAGATCTTTATTTCCGAAGATATTATTTATTGACATCTTTAGCAAATCCCATAACTATAGTTATAGGTATAGAGGTCAGCAACTCTATAATGAGTCACTACTAAGAACCAGAAATATAATAGAGAGAGTATTTGGAATTTGGAAAAGAAGGTTTCCAGTGTTGGCATATGGATTAACATTAAAACTAGATACAGTTTTTTCCATTATTCCAGCTGCAGCTGTACTACATAATATTGCTAGAGACATGAATAAACCAAAGCCGCCATTGCCTGATGATATTAATGCCATGAACTGGTGTACCCTGTTGTTACTCATCCACAATATCGCATTATGTTTCAAAATCAATTAATACAAGATTATTTTGCGAATTTATAAAATTTAATGTGAATAATATTTTTATTGTTTTATTTAATTTATACTTATTTAAAATTATAATACATATATTAAGTTTTTCTTTTACATCCTTTTTATTGTTAATTTCCTGCTCTAATTGTTTCAGCCCTATCTGTCTCTTTGTTTTCAATGATACCCTTGTATCTACAAGATTAATTTGAGGAGCGCCCCCTTTTTTTTCAGGTTCTGTATTCATATTATTCTCTCTTGCCATCAACTGAATCGGTCGTACATGAAATAGAATCGAACCACAGATGATAAAGATCTTTATCATCTTTATCATCGAATCGAACCACAGATTATAAAGAATCGAACTCTTAACGTCAAAATATATTTGCGTCACAAATAAGTGTGAAGTTAGTTATTAGCACCATTTTTTTTCCATTTTTAAGTCAAATTCCCTAGATCACTAGTTAAATTTTAAACCATAGTTAAAAAATCACGGTGCAAGATTTTGTACACTAATCCCCTGTTACCTTTTAAATTGGCAGTTAATTTAACTGATCAGTTAGAGAAAACGGTGCAAGTGGCCATTAGACCTTTTCTTTTGGGCTTATGTCTTGTTATTAATCTATGGCATAGATTAATAACAAGACAAGCCCAAAAGCAAAGGTCTAATGGCCACTTGCACCGTTTTCTCTAACTGATCAGTTAAATTAATAATAGATTCTGTGCCAGGGTTATCAAATTGGAGTTCGCCAGTTGATCGTAGGCGGTTCGGGACAAGATTAACGTTATGGCGGCCCACTGACTTCTTTGCGCGTGTCACGTGTTCAGATTTGAAGATGAAACCTCGCTTTAAAAAGAGTAACATATTTATCTGACATTTTCCCAAGTAAAGTAATACAAGGTTTTGCATGCACTGTGCTGGATTCTTCATATTTCTCAGCTCTGCTATAAACTAAAAAGGTTCTTTTCAGATATCGGTAATGCTTAAGGCCGATTTAAAAAGCATTTATGGTTACAATCTAAAAAACAAATTCAGGAATTATTGTTCAAAATGTCCGCAGATCAAACCCGTCAAGCTAATTTTAAAAATATGTCTAATTGTTTTTGGACCAGCAAGACAGGAAGAATATTCCGAACTCTTTCGCAAGGAGGTGAATTTCGTTTTGCTGTTTTTTATGTGAAAGTGGGTTTTTACACCTTGTCATAATAAAAATGCAGTATTGCAGTAATTAAATGCTGAATCAGAATTAAGATTAAAATTGATCAAAACTGCTCCCAAAGTAGACTTACTTTGGGACAAGAAACAAACCCATCCATCAACCCATGACCAATAATACTGAACCTAAAACTTTTGGAATATCGCCCATCGGGCCATATGAATAAAAATAAAGTAAATGCTTATAAGCATAAGGCAGAAGAAAAAGCAAATGCTTAGAGCAAAAGGTAGGAGTAAAAGCAATTGCTTTATTTAATATGAATAATGATTACCTTATACTTGCGAGCAAATGCTTCATAAAAACGAGTAAAAGTTCATGACTTAAATATTTATATTTTTATACAATAGAGTGTTTACATTCAAAATGTTATTGTACCAGGAAATGTTTAGCAGGTATTGTATTTTTTCGCGTGTTTTTTTGCGTGTTTGCAGTCTAAGCGCTTGCAGCGTTTATTCAGTTTTTAAAATGTCGTCATCCGAAGATGATGTTGCACTTGAAAGTGATAATAAGGTGCAGGTGCTAGAGTTCATAGCAAATCAAATCAGCAAACATCCAGAGATCCTTAGTAAGTCACAGACGCCCGCATTGAAAAAAAAGAAATAAGACGCGATAAAACAAATTCTACAATTATATCAAAATGTAATGGGGCAACTAATCACCTCGGGACAATTAATGAAAAAAATTAACAAGATGAAGGCCCGTTTAAAAAAGAAAACGGATGTAAAGAAAACGGGTAATAAACCTATCAAACTTCTTCCATGGGAAAAAGTTTTATACGAGGCCATGGATGGAGATTCAAATCCAACCGTTGCGAAAATGGCAGGTAATTGGACTGTACTTTTGAAGCCTTTGAAATGTTTTTATCGAAAATACTTATTCCAGGAGCCAAATCATACGGCACGTCATTGGACGTATTATCTCCAATTACATCGTTTGGAGACACAGTCACTGCGTCCTGTTCCAGTGCAACTAACATGGCATTAAGCAACACTGACGTGGATCAATGTGAAAAAACATCTACGGCTGCTACCCCTTTGCCACTGCCTCCACGTCAAAAGCGATCATCAACTGCACTGCCAGGCGAAACAGAGGAAACTCAAAAGTTGTCCAACCTAGAGCTGCACCGGTTAGTTTTGCTAGAGCAACTACAGACCACCAGAGTCCAAAGAAACTATTATGAAAATAAAATAAAAAAGGATGCCGTGCAAATAGTATACAACGATGGAAAGACGTATGCAAATATATGGTTGGGTAGAACAATGCGGGTTTTCCTACTAGTAAGACTAAGCAATTTGAATAGGATGACTAGATAACAAGTGGAGTGAATCTTTTATTAAATTTTGACAGCAGTCGTAAACTATTTTTTCTGTTGTTTCTTTTCCTGGGAGCATATTATTGATTTTAATAACATGCCATTAAAATCAATAATATGCTCCCAGAAAAAGAAACAACAGAAAAAGTAGTTTACGACTGCTGTCAAAATTTAATTAAAGAGTCACTCCACTTGTTATCTAGTCCTCCTATTCAAAGTGCTAAATCTTACTAGTAGAAAAACCCACATTGTGCTACATGCATGTAGCCTACATGATGTAGGTAAGACAATTACAGAATGTATAATTATTTTTTATTAATTAATAAATCAACCATCATTAACTATAAATACATATATTACTAGTTACTGTGCGTTATAATTTTGAATTATATTGGCTAAAGCTTGTCGTACTTCCTGCCCGCGGACACGAACATTGTCATTCTCTTCCTCATATATGAAGACGTCGGACTTGTTTATGATGGGTATACCCATCATAAACAAGTCCGACGTCTTCATCTTCATCATTGTCTTCAAAATCTGGATCCTGCAAGGCCTTAGCAATGTTGTGTAAAATGATACAAGCTACAATTATATCTGGGACATTAGCCAGTGTCACGCGACAACAATATTTTAATATAGGAAACCGCCGTTTCAGCTGTCCAAAGCACTGCTCGATAATTACCCTTTCCTTTGGCAACAGTTTATTGTAAGCTTTTTTTACGTTTGTGTTGACAGGTTCTCGAAATGGAGTCATAAGCCAAGGCTCAATTCCATATCCCTGATCAGCAATAAGAACGGCGTTCTCTGTACGTTGCATTACTTCTCTCACGTCGGAATTTTTCCAGATCCGGCTGTCATGTACAGAACCAGGCCAGCTCACATCCACGCTGGTGAAAATGTATTTTCCATTACACGTAGCTTGCCCATTCAAAGTAGCTTCTCCTTTGCGGTTTATGTATTCGTCCCCATGTACTTTAGGTTTTTCTATCTTCACGTGTGTACAGTCCAGTGCTCCAATAGCAGTCGGAAATCTAAACTGACTTGCCCATAGTTCTTTAGCTTCCATTACGGCATGGTGACTTTTAGGAAACTGAATCCAACGATTAGCCTGTTGAATTACATGATACAACATGTTGTTGTATCATGGTTGAATTATTTTTGTAACCACCATTCGCACAGTGCGAGAAACAGTAGACTGCTCAATGCCTAGCTCTTCGCCAATTCCGCTTTGGAAACCTGGATTTGCCAAATATCTCAAACAGATTTTTATTCTCTGAACAGCTGATAATGCTCTCGCCTAGAAAGTTCTGAGCTAACCACTCTACATTTACCTGTTCAAACCGGAACATGCTTTTAAAATCACTTGATCGGGGTGTACGCCGTTGTTTGTAGTACTTTAAATTTCGGAGATTTATCATTTCAGCCATTTTTACTTGCAATCTCACAACCGTCTTTCACGTGGAATTCGCGGAACCTCTAATGGTGACAGCTCTGATGCTACTGAACAGCAGCATCACTTTTCCGCAAGCAAATGCTCGCACTTGTAAGCAAATGGTTGGCTTTATTCATACGTTTAAGCCGATTCTTTTACTTTATGAGCATTTGCTTCCTACTTTTGAGCAAAAGGATTTACTTACAATTTTATTCATACGCCTCGAAGGATTTACTTCGAATTTTGCGATTATAAGCAAATGCTCATTTTTATTCATATGGCCCATTATTTGTAAAAATCATGAAAAATTCGGTTTATCTCATACCTCATGCAAGCGCTTCCGAATTTCGTTATCAATATGGTACATGGTACTGTACCCTTTACATTAAACACTTAACACAAAATTGCTTGATTCAAGTAGGCACGAGGGATTAAATTTACTTACTATTATACCCTATAAATCCTTTTGATTTAACTTCCTCACTAGTGGGTCCTATAAAACTACCAATAAAATAGTCGCATATTGCCACCAGAAGTATAACAAGTAACCCCACTTGTGCCTAAAAAAAGTATTTCTATATGAAATCGCTAACGAAAAGATTCTTAACTTACCTTGGCCTCCCATTCCATTCCAACCACCACAACGACGGTTAGAACCAAAATTGTTATGCAGCCTACTATTCTGACGTCTTGGACGCCAGCGTCAATAATTTTAAGGTCGTAAGACAACAGTAAATCGCGCAAAGATTCACAGAATCCCACGACGTACATAGCACAAGCCACTGCGTTTGCCAACGAAAAAATGAAGCCGATAGACCCGCCAAATTCTGGACCTAAACTTCTGGAAATCATGTAATAGGTTCCTCCTAAAAATATGTTAGAATGTGCACATTGAAAATCGTTTCTTTAAATGTTTTACCAACTAACTTTTTTTAATTTATTTTGAAAAAATTACTGCTTTCTCTCTAAAAATGAATTAGTCAAAAATGACTCATACCATGATTAACCATGGATACCATGGTATCCCCAACATTTAATAGCCAATTCTATGTAAAATTTTCCCCTGAATCCGAAAATGTCGTCAAAAGATTTATATGTAAAATAGTTTTTGAGAAATAGTCAATATTCCATATAATATGGAATTGATTATATCTCAAAAATTGGTCTACTTTAAAAAAAATTTGACGGTATTTTCGGATTCATGGGATAATTTTACATAAAAATTGGCTATTGAATGTGGGTATGTGGGTATGTTGGTATAAGTGAAAAGCAGTCACTAATAACTGTAGTAGTCATTTTTGACTAATTCATTTTTAGAGAGTTCTTAATCTTATTATTATAACTTTAATTTTTAAATAGCTAAGAGCTATAGTTTTATATGTGCTTATAATATTTTAAGTTTAATAAACGCTGCTTGGCATTTTCGCCTATTTAAAAACTTTTTTCTGAATTAGACTACTACATCTGTAAATAGGATTAATTGTAATTATGATTTATTAAAAAAATCCTAAATTTAATTTACACCCATTCATTTTTTTATGCCCTTAAAAGCCGTTTTTCTAAACATAAAATCCTGTTAATAATAACTATTTACCTCCTTTAATCACTCCATTGGTACTAATAGCGGACATACTCAAAGATGTAATTGAAGTTACTATGGTAGTTGTCAGAATTAGTAGTATAGATTGACCTAAAATGCATTTATATTATTTTTAATTTGTTTGCAAATTATAATTGGTAAAGTACCTACTCCTGCCTGAGCTACTACCCACGTCAGGCGAAGAAAAAGCATAACACCCCATATGTTTAGTAAACATCTTACTAGAACACCTTGTATCCAGCCGAATTTTAATTGTCCTTCGGTATTTGATTTTCCGTTTGCGTCATCAATTGGTGGTTGACTCTAAAATAAAGAAACAATAACATTAAACATGTAATATGATAAATAATAATAAATATCAACAAAAATACCTAAATGAACAATTGTATTTGTTAAATAAATCGATGTTAATAACAGCTGTATTTGCATACATTTCTCAAAAATGTAATTGTAATAGAAACATTATAATCATTCATCCAATCAATAATAATAGTATATTATGTATTAAGTTTGATAAACGGCATTTTATTTAATCCAGACACGAGCGGGCTTGCGAGCGAGTGCTTAATTAAATTAGTGTCTAGAAAAGTTTATAAACGAGTTGCATACTATACTTTTTTTACGACAAATACTTTTTATTATCTAAAAATGATTTAAATTAAATATTTATTTGTATTAGTGATGGGCGAATTCGAATTAAAAATAACATTTAATCCGATTATTCAAATAATCGATTGAATCCGATTATTGGAATAATCGTAATTCGAAGGGTAGCGCAGTGGGTTAGGCGACTATGCCGAGACAAACTGCGTCCGAAGGTAGCGGGTTCGATTCCTGGTCACAGCCAGCGCCGGATTTAGGGGGGGTCTTTGGGGGTCTATAGACCCGGGGCGCAAGCTTACAGGGGGCGCAAAATTTTTGACTGGTAATTTTTGTTTTTTACTACAACCTAAAGGGTTTTCCCCTTTTTTTATTTTTCGTGTATTAATCAGTTTTAATAAAAATAGTATATTACACTACAAGGGCAGAAAGTGTGAGATTCCTGCACTGCGCGCCATGATGCCCGAGGCGAAGCCGAGGGCATCATGGCGCGCAGTTCAGGGCTCTCACACTTTCTGCCCGTGTAGTGTATACTATTTTTCTTACTACCTCGGCCGAAAATACAACCCGGCCGAAAATACGGGAAAAAATTAAATGTGTATTTATGTACCTATCTCCATTTGAAGAGCTTGATAAATAAATAACAGTAGGCCGTGAATTCAGCGGTGCCAATACAGTAAAAATAAAAGGTTGTATTTTAAATATTTGTTTATTTGTTGTTATAATTGCAAAATTATGGTTTAAAACTGTCATATTTTTGTTTCTCATGTTGGCAGTACGAAATTTGAATGTTAAGAACACGACTAAAAAATTTTTACACCCGCTATTAGAGTGTGCGCGTATAGCTTGACCAATGCATAAAACGTAAACTTTCTGCCGTGGAATCGGGGACGAAACAACGTATTTTGAGTCGAGGTAGTAAGAAAAATTATTTAAATTATAACCGTGATTGTTGCCATAGTATTATTATCTATGCATAATATACGAAATATGTCATGTCACGTAGGGCGCCCGACAAGTGGTTGGGCGACAAGAACTTTAGTTTGCAGAAATTGATTATTTCCACCGATGCGATGCGTATGGGCGTAAAGGTTTTTTAATATAAGAATATTTTATTACACTACGAACAACTATTAATTTAAATTACTTAGTTTAAAACTATAGTTATATACAGTACCAGTCATATATATATATATGTAAGTATATACAGCCTATTTAAAGATGACGTCAATATTGCGATAAACAAATTTGCTTCTCTAAAAGCACGCAAAGTTGAGTTGACAAAATGTTAATTTTCTTATTTAGGTATTTGTTTTTTATATAGTTTTTGTTTATGTTTTTAGGGTGGCAATATTTTTTCGACATTTTTTTTTATTTCGGAGCTCACATGAAACAATTTAAGTTTAAAGTATTCAAGTTTCAACTCAAAAAAAAATAAACGTCGCTCAAAAAAATCAACTAAATTGGAAAAATAGTAGTGGTTACAAGATCAAAATTATTAAAAAAATCAAGAAATGTATTTCAAAAATATTGAGCGACCAATAATATTTTGACTTAAAAATGTATTATGTTCCTATACGACCTACAAAAAAAATAGTGAGAAGCCAAAGATTTTGAGAAAAAAGGTTGGTTTAAAAAAGTTTTGAGCGACGTCTAAAATTTTTTTATCTGTTGAAACTCAAATACTTTAGACTTATTTTTTTTTATTTGATCTCCAAAATCAAAAAAAATTCGATAAAATACTACAACCCTAATGTTTATGGTTAAATAAAATCCTTTTGTTAAGAAGTGACATTTCTTTGAATTTATTATATAATAGGTAGGGGCGGAAAATTTTTATTAGACCCGGGGCGCAAATTTTTATAACCCGGCGCTGGTCACAGCCTTGGGTGTTGTTCGCGTTGAAAGTCGGTAGATGAGTCTAACTCATCGAGGACCGTGGTTCGGATTCCACGTTAATCAGTAGGTCCCGCTGAAGAACCGAACCTTATAGGCTTTGCCTGTAAGCTGGATAGGTTGATGGCGTTACTACTCTACTCCAAATATTACAGATTTTATTCGATTTTAAATTTTTATTATTTCTTTTATTAAAATATTTAAAATGGTATAAAACCTGTAAACTATGGATTTTTTAAATAAAATTTTAAATTTGTCGATAAATTATAGTAGATAATAAATTGCACCACATTTGAATTATCTTAAATAGGGGGACCTGAAGGCGGGTGAGGCGACAGGAAAAACTAACTTTTTTTCGCACAAAATTGCACCAACTTCAATTTATATATATTATAAATTTGGTGTGGGTCCCATATCTAATAACTGAAATATTGGCATACCCAAAATCCACCAGCAGCCATTGTCATACCTACAATTGTAGGTATTCTAGTCGCCGAATGAATCCTTCAATTTGAAATCCGAATAAAAATATGCGATTAATAATCGCCGATTACTTAATTCGAAAATAAACGGCGATTATTAATCGCATACTTTCATTCGAAATGAAAGTATGCGATTTATAATCGCCGATTATTTAATCGAATTATCATCCGATTATTGAAATAATCGTATCGGATATAATCGGTTATTGATATAATCCGATTATGCCCATCACTAATTTGTATAGATAACCAGTAACCACTCTTGGAAATCTGTATTACCCGCGCGCCGGTCAAAATGTTAAATTTTTAAGTGTAATTCCAAATGTATCCCTTGAAAATTGACCGTTTAAATCCGATATAGAAGCAGTTTTTCGCAGTGAAAGTAAAGAAAAAATGTTTTATGAGCAGTCCATGGTGGAGTCTCCACCCGAAATTAAGCTAAATCTAGTTTACTGCCGGCGAAATTAAAAGGTCAGTACAATGTTCATATAAACTTTTCTAATATTAGCGTTTAGTAACTATAATTTGTAACTTTGTAATGAGATAATAAAATAATTTTTCTTACTACCTCGACTCAAAATACGTTGTTTCGTCCCCGATTCCACGGCAGAAAGTTTACGTTTTATGCATTGGTCAAGCTATACGCGCACACTCTAATAGCGGGAGTAAAAATTTTTTAGTCGTGTGCTTAACATTCAAATTTCGTACTGCCAACATGAGAAACACAAAAATATGACAGTTTTAAACCATAATTTTGCAATTATAACAACAAATAAACAATTTATGTTTTTACTTTTTTACTTTTTTTGTTGTTTTAAGTGTTTAATGGTACTTTTATTTGTTATAAAGTAGTAATGACGGTAATTAAAATACAACCTTTTATTTTTACTGTATTGGCACCGCTGAATTCACGGCCTACTGATATTTATTTATCAAGCTCTTCAAATGGAGATAGGTACATAAATTTAGATTCCTGCACTGCGCGCCATGATGCCCGAGGCGAAGCCGAGGGCATCATGGCGCGCAGTTCAGGGCTCTCACACTTTCTGCCCGTGTAGTGTATACTATTTTTCTTACTACCTCGGCCGAAAATACAACCCGGCCGAAAATACGGGAAAAAATTAAATGTATTTATACACATTTAATTTTTTCCCGTATTTTCGGCCGGGTTGTATTTTCGGCCGAGGTAGTAAGAAAAATAGTATACACTACACGGGCAGAAAGTGTGAGAGCCCTGAACTGCGCGCCATGATGCCCTCGGCTTCGCCTCGGGCATCATGGCGCGCAGTGCAGGAATCTCACACTTTCTGCCCTTGTAGTGTAATACTTAATACTTTTGAATTTTTATATTAAGATAATACAGTGATTTTCAGGAAGTGCACTTTATTTTACCGATTGTATGACAACTTAAAGCAAACTTCAGCCCGTGACTAAAAACCTGTTGCTTACTTAAGAAGCAGTCACTAATAACTGTAGTTAGCCCACAAAAGTCAAGTTTATGACCATTCCTATCAAACCCCAGTACACTCGAGGTCTGGAAGGGATTTTTCGAAAACTGGACTTTAAAATTGCTTTTAATTGAAGCAATAACACACTTCAGACCCTTTTAGGCAACCCAAAAGATAAGATTCCCAAAATTGAAGTCAGGGATATACGAAATAAACTGTCAAGATTGTGAAAAGAAATATGTTTGAAAAAACTAAACAGTCCATCCAAGTAAGGTTCAAAGAGCACTTAAGTGCTCTTTGAACCAATTGGCTCATGCTGGATAGCCATGAAAGTTCATACATCTATAAGAATAAAAATAAATCTTTAAATAGCGATAACGGACCGGCACCCAACTCTAGTTTGTTAGTTTCTCTTTACGTGTTTACTGAAGCGGTTACGGTCCACGGTTTAGTAAACTGTGTCCGTTCACGGTTCAGTCAACCTTAGCTTATAATTTGTATAAATATGGTAGATTTAGCAGTTAGATTTAGTTATACTTCGCTTCCAAAGATGCCAACATCGTTGGCAAAAAGTACTTTAAACACTTTGTGTTTTGTTTTGATGTTGGGGAATATTTCTAATATTTGTTTAACATATCACCAAGGTTGTCATTTTTCAAGTATCAGGATATACAATATTTGAAAATATTTTTTTTTTAATTTCTCTGTATAATTTTGATACATTTTAATTACATAGTTAGATGTTTTCTGTATTCTTCTGCCAACTCCTCTTTTCTTAAAGACGAAAAAGCTGGACTTGAAATCGAATCAATTAAATATCTATGCCTGATAAAATATTTATAATATTTGGACACCCTTTTATTAACCATCTTTCCAT